TCTTTCCCCCCGCCAGCCCTTTGCAACTTCCAATTGCTTTTTATTGGGGAATCAGCTTCTCTGTGCCCTACTGGTTCTGTTAATTAAACTACAAATAACTGACAGAGCTAATTAGATGGAACTAGCTGTCTTAAGGATTCTGGTCCATTCTATTACACATGCCTTTTCAAATTAACCTAATTGTTTATTCCTTGCCTCATTCACTGAGCACTGTCCAGCCTGTTTTAAGTGTGGTTGACATCTGCATGCACCTTGGCTGATGTACTGTTTACTAGAAGTGTCCTTTCTGCACAGTGAGCATCCAGGTCTACTTTGTTAAATTGAACTAAACCAGACTAAAACTACTTATTTCAGTAGATTAATGAGGTTTCTGGAGATTCTCATCTCATTCACCATATACCAGGTATAATGGCTGTGGCTCATTCAGTATGCAGCTTTCTCAGGGGACAAGAGATTCTTGTGGAGCCTTGCTCAAATACTGTGAACTGTTGTGCAGAGACTAGAACTTGAAAAAAAATCTCATCTTAAAAGGATACAAATTTGGGAAAAATTAAAGGCAAAAAAGCACTGTAGAAATTAAAGGTTATCATAAGTATAGCTGTCACTATACACTTCAGCTCCTGTATAATTAGGATGAAAGATACTTCAGAAATGCATAAGGTATTATTTTGCATGTTTCTTATTGTTAACACACTCTAGCATGCTAGACAACAGCATCTGAAAAATCCTAACAATGTAGGAGTCTTCTGTGCTTTTATTTAATTACACTGAACAGTAAATAGAATTAGACTATACTGATCACCTGAAGATTAGAAGTAAATATCAAGGTGTGTGCAAGTAGAAATTAAAAGAGTGAGTACTCTGTGTTAAACTAATATCTGATAGGACTAGCAGCAAAAATGTTTGTACTTACTGAATGTTTCAAAAGTTTTCCAAAATAGCTATTGTCCCATTAAAGATGCTTATGTATGCTAGTGTATGCCTATACTAAGAGAAAAGTGGGAGTTAAAAGGTAAAGAAAAAAAACACGTTTCTGTCTCTTTACAGCTTGCCATTTTAACTCCAAAATAATAATCTCTAAAAAATTTTAGGTTGTCACAATAGATTTGTGGTTTATTGCCAATCTCCTGTGATTTGTACTTTAAGTGTTTTCCAAAATAAAGTGTAACATCACTTGATATGAGGCACTGTTACCTTTAGGCAAATAGTAGCCTTTTCCAAGGTCAGATGAAAAAGAACTTGACAGATAAGTGGTGATCTCAGGTGGCTCACAATGTGAACATCTTTCCTCTCCACTGTCATGGGATGATGATGTATTATTTTGAACCTCACTTACCAAATCAAAAGATTCTTTGGCTAGTTGGCCAATGGCCAGAGACTGCCAAAAAAGCATTAAGCTTGCATCCCACTTGCCTATCCTGGCACTGCATAGAGTCAGCACAGAATTAAAAACTATAATGGAAGACTTAACTCTATGCCTGGTGGGCATTCTCCTTAGTTTCCAATAACTAATCAGAAACCGGGTAGCACTGCACTAGAAATTCATTACCCTGGCAGCTCAAACTAATGTGTGTTACTGTTTGGGCTTCAGCTTAGAACAAGGTTTTACACTTGACTGAGCTGGGCACAGTCAAGTGTAAAACTGATGGATGATGGATAATTGTTAGAGGCATCTTAGAATCTCAGGGGGATTGGCACAGGGAACTGATAAGAACGTGTCCATGCTGTTTACACTTATGTGAGGATGGGTCAAAGAGAGAAAGTGCCTGTAACACTATTCATAGGAAAATCTGAGGGTTTTGCTATTACCTAAATGATTGTTTATTATGAATAATGTAACAGCAATTCTAGCTTCTAAAGTTCTCTCCAAATAGAAAATGGTTGTGTAGCACTCTCGTTAACTAAACATCACAAGAAAATTCTTCAGTAAAAACCTGATTATGTCCCTCCCTTTCTATGTGTGTTAGGTATCTGAGCTGCAGGGATGTAAAATCCTGTTTTATTGGCTAACAGGTTAAACATATTGTTGAAGGCTGCTATCAAATCCCGCCTTACTCTTCTCTTCTCTAGACTAAATAAGCCCAACTCCCTCAGGCTCTCCTTGTAATCATTTTTGTTTCCCTCCATTCGACTTTCTCCAATGTGTCCACATCCTTTCTGTAATGGGGGCCCCAGAATTGGATGCAGTATTCTAGATGTGGCCTCACCATGCTGAATAAAGAGGAAGAGTCGCTTCTCTAGATCTGCTGGCAATGCTCCTCCTAATGCACCCTACTATGCGGTTAGCCTTCTCCGCTACAATCACACACTGTTGACTTATATCCAGCTTCTCATCCACTGTAATCCCTGGGTCTTTTGCTGCTGCCTAGCCAGTCGGTCCATAGCCTGTAACAGTGCTTGTTATTGTTCCATCCCAAGTGCACTTGTCCTTGTTCAACCTCATCAGATTTCTTTTGGCCTAAACCTCCAATTTGTCTAGGTCGCTCTGGACCCTATCTCTACCTCTCCTCCTTGCTTATTGTTGTCTGCATATTTGCTGAGGGTGCGATCCATCCCCTCATGCAAGTCATTAATAAAGATGTTGAATAAAACCGGCCCTAGAACTGACCCTTAGAACTATGGACTCATAGAATTGTAGATTCCTAGGGCTGGATGAAACCTCACAAGGTCGTCTAGTCCAGCTCCCTGCCCAAAGCAGGACCAATCCCAACTAAATCATCCCAGCCAGGGCTTTGTCAAACCAGGACTTAAAAACCAGCAGGAGATTCTACCACCTCTCTAGGTAACCCTTCCCAGTACTTCACCACCCTTCTAGTGAAATAGTTTCTCCTAATATCCAATCTAGACCTCCCGCATTGTAACTTGAGACCATTGCTCCTTGTTCTGCCATCCATCATTACTGAGAACAGCCTCTCTCCAATGCGTCTACATCTTTTCTGAAGTGGGGGGGCCAGAACTGGACACAATACTCCAGATGTGGCCTCACCATAGCCACCCTTGTGGCACTCCGCATGATACTGATAGCCAGCTAAACATCAAGCCATTGATCACTACTCGTTGAGCCCAACGATCTAGCCAGCTTTCTATCCATTTTACCATTTATCCAATCCACACTATCCAGTAACATAAAATTGGCAACCTAGTTTATCCTACTTATCCTTTGCTGGTGCTGCATAACAGATGAGTGAAGTGAATTCTCCTTCTGATAAACCAAGTTAGTGCTGCCTATTGCCAGGAAATCAGGAATCTTATTAAAGCTAATCCTTCTTTGCTCCCTAGCATGTCTAACTCCTGCGAAAGCAGTAGATTAGGGCATCCAGGCTCAGAGCAGTCCAGACCTGAACATTGTTTTTTCAATACAGTATGTAACAAACGATTTTTTTAAAATGCAAGTTCCTATGTTTTCAGGGAAATTAACTTCTTGTGTCCTTAGTGAGAGCAAGACAGTAATTTCAAGCCACCACAGAGACCAAAATGTTTAAGGTTTTTCTCCAAGTGCTGTCCTTAACAGAAAGTAGTCCTTGGTATTGAAACTAATATAAAAGCTTGAGAATATGTCTAGACTACATGCCTCTGTCGCCAGGTGTGGTTAACGAGGTTTACAGGAGCAGTCGACAAAGGCGTTCCCTGTCGACCGATCCGCGTCTTGACTGCCACGCTGTGCTGACGATCAGCTGAGCCAGCACACCGTGGTGGCCATTTTTATTTTAATGAAGCCGGAGATATTTAAATCCCTGCTTCATTGACTATGTTGGGTAGTCCAATTTACATGCCTCTGGCGACAGAGGCATGTAGTCTAGACATACCCTGAGAAGGCTTCATTAAAAAAAATTACATCTTTCAAGGAAAGTGCAAGCTTCAAATAAGTGTTTTAATGGTATTTATTTTGGTCTGTAAATTATTCTGACACTCCTTCACCTCATCTATGCACCATGGCAGAAAATATATGGCACATAACAAGAATACTGTGATATTCAAACTTTCCCACTGACATGAATGATGTACCTCTCTCTCTCTACATCTGAAAACAGACTTCAGTAATGGTACCTATTTCCAATTTGCACTAAAGGCATAGGAAGGAGAAATATTTATCTCCATTACAAGAAAAAAATCTACCTCTTTCTTCCCTGCTCTGGCTTTTACAAGCAATCACAGTTACATGTCATTAAAACTGGACCAGTGAGGTCCAGTCAAATCACAATTTAATATATATTTGTCATTTATTTTTCACCTAAGGTCTGTATTAGGTTTTTTTAAAAACCTATTTGTTTCTAATGTGATCTAAAGCCCTGTTTGGTGTGACCTTAGTTTGTTTCATCTTGGATTAAATGAACAAATAGCTCTTTCTAGAGGTTGCTAAACTAGTTTAGAAAGTTTTGAGCATCTCTATAGTGGCACTTAACCATAGACCCCCCCTGCCAGTAGGGGCAAAGTGGGCAGTTGACCCAGGGCCTGGCAATTCAAAGGGGCCTGGGTTTCTGGATGTTGTCACTGCTGTTGCAGCAGCCAGAGCCCTGGATCCCTTTGAATTGCTGCCAGAGCACCATTCTATGCAGCTTTGAGGAGTAGGGGCTGCACCACAGTCTGGGTGGCTTTGAAGGCTGCTTTTCCCAGCCCTGCCCCTTCTGCCCAAGGCTCCCTCACACACCTTGCCCCATGGTCCACTGGGAGTAGTGCTGATGTTTGGATTTCCAGTGCATATTTTTGGATGAAGAGCATGAACATTAGTTGCTAATGACTCTTCCTGTGATGTAGTAGATGAATCGATCTTCTCATTCCCTGTTTGCTTTCAGTCAGATGCTGAGCACATTCAGTTCACATCTGAGTTGTATCACTTACCTTATTTCTGTTACTTCATTTTTTAATTTTTAATATTATCAAAATCTCACATTGAATTGCTGCAAAATTTTGGTAAATTTCAGCCAACACAGAGTGTGTACTACAGCATATTATAGACATAACTTCCATATCAATTCACATTAAACTTCATATTTTAAATTGTTTTAATATAGTTTTTTTTGTTGGTCTCTGCCCAGGAAAACATGTTTTTCAATAATCTCTTAATACTTAGTCACCCAAACCTGACTCTTCCAGAAAATTTAAAAACAACACATGATGTAACGAGCTAAAGTATATTGTATTATTAGAACATTTATATGGAATAAATGTGACACTAAATAATATGTGTGGATGCAAATGCTGCTTGATGAAATGATTGGAGATAAGTCTGATTGTTCATCTTTGCTTACCTCCATGCCTTTTCTACTGTTACTGACTTGCAGTAGCATACTAAGACATAGAGTGTGAAGGGAAGCAATGACCGAGACAGTTATCCTTTTAGCAAACCAAAATAGTCACATTCTATTCTATTTTGTCTCCTAAGGACTCTCCACTGAAAGCTGTGCAGATGCTGTGGGTCAATCTAATTATGGACACCTTTGCTTCTCTTGCACTGGCCACTGAACCCCCTACAGAGGCTCTGCTGCTAAGGAAACCATACGGCAGGAACAAGCCTCTTATATCACGTACCATGATGAAGAACATTCTCGGCCATGCTGTCTACCAGCTCACTCTCATTTTTACTCTCCTCTTCGTTGGTAAGATAAACATATTTTTTTGTTCACTGTTACAACTTGCTGCTGCTTCATTCACAAATGGTCTGTCTCTAGCTGTTTGCCTCCCAAATGTACAGCAAATTCCGAAGTACCAAACATTTGCAGTAAGCTTTAGTTTAGGTATGTCCTAAGTGTTAAGCCATGCAGTGGGACCAAGAGAAATAAAGGGAGATGGAATAGTCTCAGCTGAAGGATAATGGGATTTAGGGGATCTTCCTGGATTCTTTCATATCTTCCAATTAAGAATGCAGGATTTGCTTAATCTAGTTTTTTGGAATGTTAAAAAAGAGTAGGTTCAAGGCATTGGCAAATGTTTGGGTCAATCTGGGTCTTAACCAAACTGGTCATTCTGTTCCTAAGCTCACATTTCAAGCCTTGTCCTCTTCACTAGTAAACTAAATGTTTTGTTTGTGTTTAATCTGAAATGTACAAAATGTATCAGAAGGACAGAACAGGTCATGCTAGTGGGAGAGTGGCACTATACCATGAAAGAAAATGTAGAATCTAATTAATTAAAAATCTTAAATGAACCAAAATGTTCCATAGAATCTCTATGGATAATAATTCCATGCTCTAATAAGAATATACCAGTCGGGATATATTATCGACTACCTGTCCAGGATGGTGGTAGTGACTATAAATGCTAAGGGAGATTAGAGAGGCTATCAAAATAAAAATAATAGTTGAGGAGTTCAACTATTCCTCTAGTGAAGGGGTACACATCACCTCAGGGTAGAATACAGAGCTAAAATTTCTTGATACCTGAAATGACCTTGGAGCAGCTGGTTCTGGAACCCACAAGGGGAGAGGCAATTCTTGATTTAGTCCTAAGTAAGTATATATTTACTATATATTCCTAAATTATATTTATCTCTTGGATCTGGTAAATATAACTGCACCACTTGAAAATAGTGACCATAATGTAATAAAACCCTTCAGCAGCCCAACATTTAATTTCAGAAAGGGGAACTACACAAAAAATGAGGAGGTTAGTAAAAACAAATTGAAAGATACAGTGACCAAAGTAAAATCCATGCAAGCTACATGGAAACTTTTCACAGACATCATAATAGAGGCCCAACTTAAATGTATATCCCAAATTAAAAAACACAGTAAAAGAATAAAAAAAGTGCCACTGGGGCTTAACAACCCAATGAAAAATGTGTGTGATTTAAAAAAAAGACATTGTTTAAAAAGTGGAAGTTAAATCCTAGTGAGAAAAATACAAAGGAGTGAAAGCTCTGTCAAATTAAGTGCAAAAATTTAAGAGCTGGGGCTTAACAACCCAATGAAAAATGTGTGAGATTAAAAAAAAAGACATTGTTTAAAAACTGAAAGTTAAATCCTAGTGAGAAAAATACAAAGGAGTGAAAGCTCTGTCAAATTAAGTGCAAAAATTTAAGAGGAAAAGCCAAAGAGGAGTTTGAAGAACAGCTAGCCAAAAACTCAAAAAGTAATAGCAAAATGTTTTTAAGTACATCAGAAGCAGGAAGCCTGCTAAACAACCCATGGAGCCACTGGACAATTGAAATGCTAAAGGAGCACTCAAAGTTGATAAGGTCATTACAGAGAAACTAGGGTACATCTACACTAGTCCCCAGTTCGAACTAGGGAGGCTAATGAGGGTGACCGAAATTGCAAATGAAGCGCGGGATTTAAATATCCTGCGCTTCATTAGCATGTTCCCGGGTGGTTGCCATTTTGGAAACTGACTAACCTGGAATAACTGCCTGCATCCACACACGGCAGAGAAGCACGATTCCATGAGGCTTAACTGTTAATTCGAACTAAGGGGTTTATCTCGGAATCGCGCTTCTCTGCCACGTGTAGATGCGGGCAGTTATTCCGGGCTAGTCAGTTTCCAAAATGGCGACCGCCCGGGAACATGCTAATGAAGCGCGGGATATTTAAATCCTGCGCTTCATTTGCAATTGCGGTCGCCCTCATTAGCCTCCCTAGTTCGAACTAGGGGACTAGTATAGACGTACCCTGAATGAATTCTTTGCTTTGGTCTTCATGGCTGAGGATGTTAGGGAGATTCCCAAACCTGAGCAATTCTTTTTAGGTGACAAATCTGAGAAATTGTATCAGATTGATATGTCATTAGAGGAGGTTTCAGAACAAACTGATAAATTAAACAGTAACAATTCACCAGCACCAGATAGCATTCACCCAAGAGTTCTGAAATAATTCAAGTGTGAAATTGCAGAACTATTAACTGTGGTTTGTAACCTATCCTTTAAATCTGCTTCTATACTAATGACTAGAAGATAGGTAATCTGACACCAATATTTTAAAAGGGCTCTATAGGTGGTCCTAGCAATTACAGACTAATAAGTGTTACATGAGTATCGGGCAAATTTGTTGAAACTATAGTATAGAGAAACATAATGGGCTCGTCTACATTGGCCCCTTTTCTGGAAGGGGCATGTTAATTTCAGAGATCGTAATAGGGAAATCCGCAGGGGATTTAAATATCCCCCGCGGCATTTAAATAAAAATGTCCGCCGCTTTTTTCCGGCTTTTAGAAAAGCCGGAAAAGAGCGTCTACACTGGCCCCGATCCTCCGGAAAAAGCGCCCTTTTCCGGAGGATCTTATTCCTACTTCAAAGTCCTTATACTTCAAAGCGCCCTTCAAAGTAGGAATAAGATCCTCCGGAAAAGGGCGCTTTTTCCGGAGGATCGGGGCCAGTGTAGACGCTCTTTTCCGGCTTTTCTAAAAGCCGGAAAAAAGCGGTGGACATTTTTATTTAAATGCCGCGGGGGATATTTAAATCCCCCGCGGATTTCCCTATTACGATCTCTGAAATTAACATGCCCCTTCCGGAAAAGGGGCCAATGTAGACGTAGCCAATTTGTTGGGGAAAAGTCAACATGGTTTCTGTAAAGTGAAATCATGCCTTACTAATTTACTAGAGCTCTTTGAAGGGATCAACAAATATGTGGACAAGAGGGATCCAGTGGATATAGTGTAGTTAGATTTCCAGAAAGCCTTTGACAAGGTCCCTCACCAAACTCTCCTAAGTAAAGTAAGTTGTCATGGAATAAGAGAGAAACTCCTCTTATAGATTGATAACTGATCAAAAGGCAGGAAACAAAGGGTTGGAATAAATGGCAGGTTTTCAGAATGGAGAAAGATAATTAGTGGTGTCCCCCAAACATCCGTACTGGGACCAATCCTATTCAACCCATTTATAAATTATCTGGACAAAGTTGTAAACAGAGAGGTGGCAAAATGTGCAGATCATACTAAACTTTTCAAGATAGTTAAAACCAAAGCAGACTGCGAAGAGCTTCAAAAAGAGCTCACCAAACTAAGTGCTGAGGTAATAAAATGGCAAATGAATTTTAATGTTGATAAATGCAAAGTAATGCACATTGGGAAAAACAATCCCTATTATACACAGAAAATGATGGGGACTAATTTATCTGTAACGCTTCTGCCAGGTAGCTCCGGCAGCAGCTGGGGGCGGGTTCAATATCTAGTGGTCCCATTTCATCCATCTCACACACAACTGGCTCAAGCTCCCACCCAGTAGCCTGAGAAATTCACACACCCCTGGGCACCTCTGAGAGGCACTGAGCATAGAAAAGAAACTTTTAATGAAAGAGAGAGAGAAGTCACATGGCATTAGCTTGGGAAAATACCCCAACCAGAGTTCATAACCAACCCATGAGGAACCATCCCAGCTCAAATGGATTGAGCAATGTCCTTTGCCTCTCAGGTTCACTAGCCCAACAATGTGAGGGTCCCATCCATTTACCCAAACTTTCTCCATACCCCACTTCAAAAGTCCCACTTACAGCTCTGTCCAGTCAGTGCAGACCCAGACACATCACCCTGATGACTTTCTTCAGAGAGCCTGATGTGATGCCACCTGTGTGCTGCCCCTGCTACCCGCTGGCCATTCCCTCCAGCCCCTCCGCTGACTCATGAGGGTCACAAGAATGAGTGTGAGAAGGAGCCTCATTGGAGCGTTCTCTTTTCCCACTGTGCGGGCTTCCTGCTGCTGCTCCCATTGGCCGCCTGCTGGACGCTACAACCAGCTGCTCTGCTGGCCGCAATGGGTCTGGTCCAGGCCAAACCAGTGACTTAGGCTCTTAGGGTATGTCTACACTACAAAGTTAATTCGAACTAACAGACGTTAGTTCGAATTAACTTTGATAGGCGCTACCGTGGGCCCCTCCCTCTTCCTACTCACTCCCCTCAAAAGCCACCATGGCTTAGTTCCAAATCTGTAAACCCCATTGAACAAGGGATAGCGCCTCTTCCGAAATAGCTACTTTGCAATAGCCGGAGTGTGGATGCGCCATCGCTGCTAGTTCAAAATAGCTCCTGCCCAGGGCCAGTCCAAGTAATTACTCCCCAGCGCCTCCTG